CGGTGGTGGCGGAGGGAGCGGAGGTGGCGGAGGTGGCGGAGGCGGCAGAGGTGGCGGAGGCGGCGGAGGAGGCGGCGGAGGCCGCAGTGGAGCTCGTCGCGATTTTGCGCAGAGGAGTGGGTCCGGTGGTGGTCCGCGCCAGCAGCAGCAGCGTAGTCGTGAGACCGTGTCTCCTCAGCAGCTTCGTGAGTGGTACGCTGCGCGTCAGCGCCGTGGGGGTACTGGTCCCTGCAGTTACATTCTCCGTATCGGCGACCGCGCTGGTGAGCAGTGCGGGGGCCCGCACTCCACCCAGCGCTGCTTCGGCCGCCTGACGGACGCGTGGCATCACCAGTTCCCTGAGGCGTCAGAGATCCCTCGCTGGGGAGATCTGTCTAGGGCGGGGGTTGCCATCTTTCATCTTGACTATGATGCTATTCTTGCTGCCATGTATGCTGTGACCGTTAGTGTTGAGGATGACTATTACCTGTGTGTTCCGCCTGACCCGGGCATTGAGGCTGCTGCTCTAGGTGCTGGTAAGGCTGCTGCTCCAGGTGCTAGTGCGTCTGCTGCCCCAAGTGCTAGTGCATCTACTGCCCCAGGTGCTAGCGAGTCCGCTTTCTCAGGTACTACGTCGGCTCGGGCCTTACACACCTTCACCCTTGACTCGGGTGCTTCCCGCTCCTTCTTTCGAGACCGCACCACGCTTACGCCGCTTAGTCGGCCGGTTGCAGTCTCCCTAGCGGACCCCTCTGGCGGTCCTGTCCTTGCTAGCTTCTCCACTGTCTTACCGTGCGCGGCAGCCCCCTCTAGCACCCTCTCAAGTCTCTACCTCCCCTCGTTCTCTACGAACTTGGTGAGTGGAGCTGACCTTCAAGATAAGGGGGTCGACCAGTTCACTCCTGCGAGTCAGCGGGTGACCCACTGCACTGCGCTCGTTCAGGCCGACACTTGGCCACGTTCACCCGTCGGCAAGGGTCGAGCCTGTACACCCTTACTACTGAGTCTCCTACGGCTGCTGAGTCTGGCCAGGTAGCTGCATCGAGTTAGGTGTTTGCTGCAGCGTCCAGGTCTGGTCCTGAGTCTGCTCCCTGCTCGTGTCGTCTGCCGTCCCACCAGACTCTCCTTTGGCAACACCGTCTTGGTCACCCCTCCCTGCCTCGTCTCCGTGTCCTTGTCTCTAGTCTCCCGTGTCCTTGTCTCTGGTCTCCCCCAGTCTCTCCCTCCCCTACCTCCGGGGCCTGCCCCTACCTGCGTCCCCTGCGTTGAGGGGCCACAGCGCGCTGCCCCTCATTCCTCCGAGATTCCTCCGATAGAGGCTTCGCTGCAGACTCTCCACATGGACGTGTGGGGCCCCGCTCGTGTCCGTGGACAAGGGCACGAGCGTTACTTCCTGTTCCTGGTTGCGCAGCAAGGGTGACGTCATTGAGGTGTTGATCGACTGGATCCGCGCAACTCGTCTCCAGCTCAGAGAGAGTTTCGGCTCGGACTTTCCTTTTCTGCGTCTGCACTCGGACAGAGGCGAGGAGTTTTTCCTGTGCATGTCTGGGAGCCTTCTGTTGTGCACAAGGCATCCGCTAGACCTTCACGCTTCCGGCCTCTCCACAACAAAATGGGATTGCTGAGCGCCGCATTGGCATGGTCATGGACGTCGCTCGTACGTCCATGATCCATGTGGCTGCCCCCCATTTTCTGTGGTCGTTTGCGGTTCAGTACGCGGCGCATCAGCTCTACCTTCAGCCCCGGGTCTCCTTGCCAGAGACCTCACCCACCCTACAAAGGACGGGGAAGGTTGGTGATGCGTCTGCGTTTCGGGTGTGGGGATCTCGGACGTTTGTCCGCGACTTGTCTGCGGACAAGTTGTCCCCCCGTGCTGTTCCCTGCATCTTCCTTGGCTTCCCCCCTGACGCGCCCGGTTGGCAGTTTTACCACCCCACCTCGGGCCGTTTTCTGTCCTCCCAGAACGTCACCTTTGACGAGTCGGTACCTTACTACTGTCTCTTCCCCTACCGCAGTGCGCCCCTCCCCCCGCCGCCGCTCTTCCTTGCGCCAGGTCCTCCCCCGGTAGACCCCCTCCCCCCTGAGGGTCCTGCCTCGTCACGTGTGCCCAAGGTAGACGCAGTCGAGCCTGTCGAGGTAGCTGTTTACTCTGGTGCTCTTAGAGGTGCTGAGCCTGCGGGTGCCGGGTCTGGAGGTGCTGAGTCTGGGGGTGCTGAGCTTGGGGGTGCTGAGTCTGGGGGTACTGAGACCGGGGGTGCTGCACCAGGGTGTTGAGCCTGCGGTGCTGAGTCTGGGGGTGCGGAGCCTGGGGATGCGGAGCTTGGGGGTACTGAGTCTGCTCGTGTGGCCGCCGGCGGTGCTTCATCGAGGCGTGAGCCACTCTCTCCGCGGGAGCTGCGCAAGCGGTTTGCCCGGCGCTAGAGCCGTGCTGCTGGAGCTGGAGGTGCTACTATTGCTACTGGTCCTGGAGGTGCTCGTACTGGCGGTGCTGGAGCTGCTGGGAGTGGGGGTGCTGCAGGGGCTGCTCGAGTTGGTTCTGCTGGAAGTACTACTAGAGCTGCTGGCGGTACTGTCGCTGCCGGTCTTGCTGGAGCTAGAGCTGCTAAGGGTGTTGGTGCTGGTGGTGCTGCTGGCGCTGTTGCTTCTGAGGGTGCTAGAGTTGGCGTTGTAGGAGCTGGAGGCACTGCTGGCGCTGGTGCTACCGCTGGGGGTACTGGTGCTGTCCTTGCTGGTTCTGGAGACGCTGCGTGGCCTCGGCCGTACTTTGTTCCGCTCCTCGAGCAGGTTCTTGGTCTCCCGCCCTCCATTGGTCCTGCTCCTCCCTTAGAGTGTCCGCAGCCTGTCCAGTCGCAGTTACAGTTATAGCCCGCCTCCCCTCTTCCTGCTCCTTCTCCCTACACTGGTCCCACTGGAGGTCTTGCTGAGCATCGTCAATGGCATGTGGATTTTAAGGGTGAAGCGGCCGCCCGGTTCTCCGCTTGTCTTCAAGGCGCGTTACCTGGCTCGAGGCTTCAGTCAGCGGCAGGGAGTTGACTACTTTCAGACCTTCTCTCCCACCTCGCAGATGACCACTCTTTAGGTGCTGCTGCACATAGCCACTCAGCGCGACTACGAGGTTCACTCTCTTGACTTCAGCACAGCTTTCCTGCAAGGCAGCCTGCACGAGGAGATCTGGCTGCGCCGCCCACCTGGCTTCACTGGGTTGTTTCCTCCTGGTACCCAATGGAGCCTCCGGCGGCCAGTCTACGGTCTCCGCCACGCGCCCCGTGAGTGGCACGACACACTGAGGACTACAGTTGCGGCTCTTAGGTTTGCTCCTTCTACTGCCGACCCGTCGCTGTTTCTGCGCACCGACACCTCTTTGCTGCCGTTCTACATTCTTGTGTACGTTGACGACTTGGTCTTTGCCACTGCTGACACTGCTGGACTCTCCCATGTGAAGTTCGAGCTGCAGAAGAGACACACGTGCACAGACCTGGGTGAACTGCGCAGCTATCTTGGCTTGCAGATCACCCGGGACAGAGCATAGCGCACCATTACCCTGACTCAGTCACACATGGTGCAGTAGGTCCTTCAGCGCTTCGACTTCATGTACTCCTCGCCTAAGGCCACTCCTCTGACAACTCGCCACTCGCTCTCAGCTCTGCCTTCGGATGAGTCCGTAGAGCCGAGTGGCCCATACCCAGAGCTTGTTGGCTGCCTCATGTACCTGATGACCTGCACACGACCTGACCTTGCATACCCTCTTAGCATCTTGGCACGCTATGTTGCTCCTGGGAGACACCGACTAGAGCACATGGCTGCAGTGAAGAGGGTGTTGCGCTACTTGTGCAGTACGTCGGGGATGGGGCTACTACTTGGAGGGCGGCGTCGAGTGGTCCTCAGATGTCACGCGGACGCTTCTTGGGCTGACGACCAGGCTACGCAGCGGTCGTCACAGGGTTACACCTTCAGCCTTGGCTCTGGCTGTGTTTCGTGGTGGTCTACCCGCTCGTCTTCTGTTCTCGGCTCTAGCTGTGTGGCTGAGATCTACGCGGGGCCATGGCTTCACAGGAGCTACGCAGGCTCACCTACTTGCTGACTGACCTAGGAGAGCCGCCTCGTTCTCCTCCAGTTCTGTACGTAGACAACAAGGCCATGCTGACCTTGTGTCGGGAGCACAGACTGGAGCACAGAACGAAGCACATTGCTCTTCGCGACTTCCTTGCGCGTGAGCTGCAGCAGCGTGGTCAGCTGCGCCTTGCTTACGTGGCCTCTGAGGCCAACACTGCTGATATCTTCACTAAGGCACTTCCGTCTTGTGATCATCAGCGCTTCTGTTAGATGTTAGGTCTTGTGCCTACTTGGCCTCACTTGCTCACTTCTTGACTTTGCTTGTACTGTGATATTTTTATACCTGCACTTGCTTTTTTACCTATATATATCTGATCTTGCATGTGAACTGGCCTTATGGCCTTACTCTTGTTCTCGGAATGTGTGGTGACGTTGTGATCCACCCTGAGCTTGATTTCCTTTGCTTGACTGGTCTTGTGACCACTTGTTCTCCCCCACTTTGCCTATGGGGGTGTGTCAAACTTATATGCTATAGTCTGTGTAGGCTGTAGTGGGGTAGACCATATGGGGTACAACACGTTTAGGTTTTCCTATTTGTACCCATCTGCTTGCTAGTTCATTTATTCCTCATTCTTTACACCAGCAGCTCTAGTAGCACCTATAGTAGCTAGAGCAGCACCGCTAGCTCCAACAGCACGTCCAACAGCTCCATGAGCACCACCAGGCCCAGCAGCACCTCCAGCAGCTCCAGCAGCGCCAGCCTCAGCACCTCCAGCAGCACCTGCTCCAGCAGCACCGCCAGAGCTTGCACCTCCAGTATCTCCAGCACCAGCGGCACCACCAGGCCCAGCAGCTCCAGTACCTCGAGTACGAGCACCTCCAGGACCAGTTGCTCCAGAACCCCCAACAGCTCCAGCAGCAGCAAGACCAACAGCGCCTGCAACACCACCAGCTCCACCAGCATGGCTCTAGCGCCAAGCAAACCACTCACGCAGCTGCTGAGGAGAGAGTTGCTCCCGCCAGGAAGAAGCACCCGAAGGACCACCAAGCCCAGCACCTCCAGACTCCACAGGCGCAGGCTCATCACCTCTAGGCTCCGCACCCCCAGACTCAGCAGCCCAAGGCTCAGCAACCCCTGGCTCAGCACCCCCAGACTCAGCACCCCAAGGCTCCGCACACTCTGGCTCAGCACCCACAGACCTGGCACCCGCAGGCTCAGCACCCCTAGCAGCACCAGAGTCAACAGCTACCTTGACAAGCTCGACTGCGTTTACATGGGACACACTTGAGGGGGCAGGACCTTGAGGGGGGTGGGGGTCTACCGGGGGAGGACCTGGCGCGAGGAAGAGCGGCGGGGGAGGGAGGGGGGCAATGCGGTAGGGGAAGAGATGATAGTAAGGAACCAACTCGTCAAATGTTACGTCCTGAGAGGACAGAACATGGCGCTAGGGGGGGTGGTAAAACTGCCAACCAGGCGCGTTAGGGGGGAAGCCAAGGAAGACGCAGGGAACAGCACAGGAGGACAGCTTGTCCGCAGACAAGTCGCGGACGAAAGCTCGAGATCCCCAGACACGGAACGCCAACGCATTGCCAACTGTCCTCGTCCACCACAGAGTAGGTGTGGTCTCCGGCATGGAGACTTGGGGCTGGAGGTTGAGCTGATGTGCCGCGCACTAAATCGGGAATGGCCAAAGTAAATGGGGAGCAGCCGCATGGATCATGGACGTACGAGCGACGTCCACGACCATGCCAATGCGGCGCTCAGCAATCCCATTTTGCTGTGGAGAGGCTGGAAGCGTGAACGTCTGGCGGATGCCCTCTGCATGACAGAAGGCTCGAAGAAGGTCGGAGGAAAACTCTCCACCCCCGTTAGAGTGCAGACGCAGAACAGGAAGGTCCGAGCCGAAACTCTCGCTGAGCGGACGACGGGCAGCGCGGATCCAATCGATCAGCACCTCAGTGACCTCACCCTTGCGGCGCAAGGGGAAGACTGTGGTGTAACGCGAGTAGTCGTCAACGACCAGCAGAAAGTAGCGCTCGTGACCCTACCCACGGACGCGGGCCGGGCCCCACACGTCCAGTGAAGAGTCTGCAGGGGAGCCTTTGTCGGAGGGAACTTGGACGAGTGAGGAGCGGCGCGCTGCCGCCCTTTGATGCAAGGAACGCAGGTAGGGGCAGGCTCCGGGGGAAAGGGAGGGAGGGTCCGGGAAGACCAGTGACAAGGACACGGGAGGCCATGCCTCGGAGACGAGGCAGGGAGAGGTGACCAAGGTGGTGGTGCCAGATGAGAGTCTGGTGAGACAGGAGACGACACGAGCAGGGGGCAGACTCAGGACCAGACCGGGACACTGCAACAAACACCTGACTCGACGCGGCTACCTGACCAGACTCAGCAACTGGGGGAGACACGGTAGTCAGGGTGTACAGGCTCCACCTAGGCTGATGGGTGAACGTGGCCAGGTGCCGGCCTGTCCGAGTACACGAACAGTGGGTCACCCGCTGACCTCCTGGAGTGAACTGGTCAACCCAGGCGTCCTGAAGGTCAGCTCCACTCACCAAGTTCGTGGAGAACGAGGGTTAGGTGGAGACCACACAGAGAGCCAGACGGGACCGCCGGACACGGCAAAACCGTGGAGGAGTGTGCAAGGACCGGACCCCCAGAGGGGTCAGCTAGGGAGACTGCCACTGGCCGACTGAGTGGCAAGAGTGAGGTCTGCAGTCGGGAATGAAGGATTGGGAAGCACCCAAGTCAAGGTTGAACGTGTGCAAGGCCTAAGGTGACGCGGTACATGAGAGAGCAGACTCACCAGCACTTGGAGCAACAGTCTCACTAGCACATAGAGCAGCAGCCTCAATGCGCGGGTCGGGCCGAACACACAGGTAACAGTCAACCTCAGCACTAATAGTCACAGCATACATATCACCAAGGATAGCATTATAATCAAGATCAAAGATAGCAACCCCCGACTTACGGAGATCACCCCATCGAGGGAGCTCAGTGGCGTCTGGAAACTGTGCTCGCCAGGCATCAGTCAAGCGACCAAAACAGCGTTGCATGGCGTGCGGCCCTCCGCACGTCTCCCCACTGCGCTCGCTGGTGCCGAGAACGTAAGCACAAGGACCAGCACCCCCAGACCTCCCACGCCCAGCGTACCACTCACAAAGCTGCTCGGGCGACAGGGTCTCACGAGAACGCTGCTTCTGCTGGCGCTGGCCAATACCAAGGCCTCCCCACTGCACAGCGCCACCCCAACCAGCACCACCGCTGCCACCACCCCCACCGCCGCTGTCGCCTCCGCCACCCCCACTGCCGCTGCCGCCGCCGCCTCCTTCTCCACCGCCGCCACCATATCCCCCGCTCCCGCCACCACCCCCACCTCCACCCCCACCCCCTCCGCCGCCTCCACCGCCACCACCGCCGCCCCCGCCGTCTCCTCCAGCACCCTTGCCCCCCTTGCTCCCGCCGCTGCGACGCCTCCCACTAGTAGCAGACGCAGCGCCGACCAACTGGAAACTAACGAGGTCGACAGCAGCAGCAGAGGCAACAGAAGGCAAAAGGGGAACGGGGGAACACCCCTTAAAGAAAGGGGCACGAGGGTCACCACGAGAGGCTCTTACAGTAACTATACTCTTCTCAGCTGCAAGGAGGCGCTCCTCGAGGAGGTCAACGGTGAGCGTGGTGGGGCAAAGGGAGAGGAAGTGGTCCCTGACCGAGTGAAGGGAGTCAGGGAGCCGGGTGACGAGGTAGTAGAGGGTGATGTACATAGGGGGTGGTTCCTGGCGCAAAACTCGGGAGGAAGTGCAGCGCGGTAGCGGGTGTCACTAGTGCGGAGGTGCGTAATGAGGTCAGCGACTGTGGCAGAAGCAGCTAGGTCAGGAAATAGGTACAGCAGCATGAGGCAGCTAAGGGCAGCAGTGGTAGGGGAGGAGTAGCGCGCAACAACAGCGTCGTACAGAGTCCTAGCGGTCTTGTACTGGCTAAAGTGCGCACTCTCGGGAGACGGCAGGTGATTACGAACATCAAGACGGGCAGCAGCATCGCGCGTGGTTCACTGCGAGCGAACAGCACTATCAGCATCCGCAGCAGGTGTAACAGAGACGCCGGACGTCTGATCAAACAGTGAGACTCCGTCCCTAGAGTCGCACTGCACAAACAGCTGCAGATGATCGACCCAGACCTCGAAGTCAACCGCTCGACCCTCAGCATCGAAGGTAAGGACATTAGGGCTAGCCATGACAGCAAGAGAAGCAGTAGTAGCCGCAGCAGCTACAGCAGTAGCAACGCGACTCGGCAGGGCGGCGCGACTCGGCAGGGTGGCGCAACTCGGTAGGGCGGCGCAACTCGGCAGGGCGGTGCGGCTCGGCAAGGCGGTGCGGCTCGGCAAGGCAGCGTGGGTGTGGTGGTGCGCTTTCCAGCGGCAGGAGGGGAGGGTAGAGGCCGTGATTAGTGGGGCAGGGCCGTGGCGTGCTGGCAGGGTAGGGGCCGCGACAAGGCGGCAGGTCAGGGCCGAGTCTCGGCGGCAGGTCAGGGCCGCGTCAGGGCGGCAGGGCAGAGCCGCGACGGCGGGGCCGCAGCGGCGGTCGCACCGGCGGCTGCTAGCTCAACGTCGGTAGCATAGCCGCTATGGCGGCAGCAGGGGCGACGGCTGCTGCAGGCCACGGGGCCTCGGCGGCTGCTGCTAGGGAAGGGGCCGCGACGACGAGGCGGGCGGGCTGTGGAGGGCCGCGACGACGGGCGGGCGGGCCGCGCAAGGCCGCGACGAAGGGGCGGGCGGGCCGCTAAGGGTGGCGACGGGCCGCTAAGGGCGGCAAGGCGGTGACGGGCTGTTAAGGGCAGCAGGGCGGGCCGCTAACGGCAATAGGGCGGGCTGCTAGGGGCCGCGACGGCAGGGCGGGCCGCTAAGGGCCGCGATGGCAGGGCGGGCCGCAAAGGGCCGCAACGGCAGGGCGGGCCACTAAGGGCCACGACGGCAGGGCGGGCCGCTAAGGGCGGCGGTAGGGCAGAGCCCGATGCGCACTTCGGGCAGGGCAGAAAAAAAGTTTCAAGTGGTGGGCCCTTAAAAAAAAAAAACGGTCCCACTAGAAAACCCGCTCTATACCATGTGAGAAAAGTACGAGGAATGAATGCACTAGGAAACATGTGGGTACAAGTAGGAAAGCCTAAAAGTGTTGTACCCTATATTATCTACCCCAGTACAGCCTATATAGACTATTTCATATATGTTTGACAATGATGCCAAACGGTTGGGAGAAGCCAAACCAGGTTGGCAAGTGTGGCCAAGGTGAGGTGGATTTGGGAGGTTGTGAAAATGACAAGGGTCAAAGTTGGGTTCCTATAGAGAAGGGATTTGGTGTGATTATGGGACCTTTTCTCTCGTCCTCCTCTTCCCTTCTACCTGGTTCATTGCTACTCTAACATTACTGTGTGGAACTTGTGAGACAATTGTGATTGAGTTAAGTTTCTATGGCAGCTTACCCCCCAGTGCGCCGAAATCGATAACTCGTGATTTACTTCACCTCTTGATACGATTCAACTTGGGAATGGCAGCTACAAGTTAACGCAACAACATATCCAAAATTAGTGAAGTTTAAATAGGTAGTTTTTTGTCAAGGGCGTTTCTTGCGAACTCGACCTTTCTTTCCAGAATACTAAGCCAATTTGAGAAATTTGGGCCCCTAATCTTTGTAGACTCTGTCCTTAGTATCTAACAGCTTCAAGGTGGGCGACGACAAGGTGGCTTGCTGGGTGCTGGTCTACGTCAACGACTTGCTTGCTGGCAGCAGCAGTTCAGCGATGCTGAAGGAGCTGCTGGAGGCTGCCTTTGAGCTGCGGGAGATCTTGCCATTTGCAGAAGTACCTTGGGCTAGAGATCGTGCGTGACAGGCCGGCAAGGAAGCTGTGGCTGCACCAGCAAGGCTACGCCAACAAGCTGCATATGCGGTTTCTCGACGAGGAATGGACCGGGCGCACCCCAAAGACACCAGTCTCGGTCAATGCCTACGCCGAGCTCACCTTCGACGACGACGAGGCCCAGGAGCGACACGAAGAGGTCCTTGGGGTGTCACTTGCAAAATCCTGTCAAACACTATATGTGTTATTGTTGTGTAGGCTATAGTGGGTTAGCCTTTAGGGGGTACACAAAGTTAGGGTTTCCTACTTGTACTCCAACTTTCATAGTGCAATCACTTCTTGTTCGTAACATGGAATCAGAGCAGGTCCTCCGCTAGGACCGATTCATAGGGCCCACCACTACTACTACCTACTAGCGCCCTCGTGCGCCCTACTGTCGGAGCGCCCTCGAGCGCCTCCCCCTTAGCGCCCTCGTGCGCCTCGTTTTTCACGGCCCCCTAAGGCCCCGCGACCCGCCTCCCTCTTCGCGACCCGCGCGCCGCCCCTTAGAGGCCCCGTCGACCCCGCGCGTCGCCCCTTAGCGGCCCCGTCGGCCCCGGTTGCCCCGCGCGCCCACCCCTCTAGTGGCCCCGTCGGCCCCGTCGACCCCACGTACCGCACCTTGGCGGCCCCGCTGGCCCCGTCGACCCCGCGCGTCGCCCTCTTAGAGGCCCCAGCCGGCCCCGTCGACCTCACGAGCCGCCCCTTAGCGGCCCCGCTGGCCCTGTCGACCCCGCGCGTCCCCCCCTTAGAGGCCCCAGCCGGCCCCATCGACCCCACGAGCCGCCCCTTAGCGGCCCCGCTGGCCCCGTCGACCCCACGCGCGACCCCCTTAGAGGCCCCAGCCGGCCCCGTCAACCCCACAAGCCGCCCTTAGCGGCCCCGCTGGCCCACGCGCGACCCCACCTTAGCGGCCCCGTCGGCCCCCCTCTCGACCCGCGCGCCGCTCCTTAGCACCCACGAGCCGCCCAGCCCAAACCGAGCCGCCCGAACCGAGCCGCTCAGCCCGAACCGAGCCGCGCCGCCCGAACCCAGCCGAGCCGCCCTACCCGAGTTGAGCCGCCCTACCTGAACCGAGCCGCGCTGCCCGTATTGGACCGAGCCGCCCTGCCTACTGTTTTAGGGTGCAACTACTGCTACTCTATTGCTACTCTACAGCTGTTATGGCTAGCCCTCCTGTGCTAGCTTTCGATGCTAAGGGCTGCCCAGTGAAGTTCGATACCCCTTCACACGGCAGCCGGGGTCGGACCTGTACACACTGACCACTGAGTCCCCTCAGGTAGCTGCGTCCGCGTTTGCGTCACGTCAGCTGTCGGCCCGCTGCTCGTGCCGCTCTCTGGCGCACGAGACAGTCCTCTGGCACCACCGCCTTGGTCACCCGTCCGTGCAGCGCCTTCGGGCAATGCACAAACGGTACCTTGTCTCTGGTCTTCCCTGGGTTCTCCCTCCCCTCCCACCCTCACCTGCTCCTCCCTGTCTTCCCTGTATCGAGGGGTGGCAGCGCGCCGCTCCTCACTCCTCATTTCCCCCGACGACTGCTCCCTTGCAGACGCTCCACATGGACGTGTGGGCCCTAGCCCGCGTCCGTAGTCAGGGTCAGGAGAGGTACTTCCTGATAGTTGTTGACGACTACTCGCGCTACACCACGGTCTTCCCCTTGCGCACCAAGGGTGAGGTCCCTGATGTTTTGATCCCTTGGATCCGCGCTTCTCGTCTCCAGCTCAGCGAGCGTTTCCACTCGGACTTTCCTGTCCTGCGCTTGCACTCTGACAGAGGTGGTGAGTTCTCCTCTGACCTCTTGGCAGGCTACTGTGCGGAGCACGGCATCCGCCAGTTGTTCACGCTTCCGGCCTCGCCACAACAGAATGGGGTTGCTGAGCGCCGCGTTGGCCTGGTCATGGAGGTCGCTCGTACCTCCTTGATCCATGCGGCTGCCCCCCACTTTCTGTGGCCGTTTGCGGTCCGATACGCTGCGCATCAGCTCATCTTCTGGCCCCGTGTCTCCTTGCCGGAGACCTCCCCGACACTGCGTTGGACGGGAGAGGTTGGCGATGCGTCGCGTTTCCAGGTGTGGGGATCTCGAACTTTTGTTCGCAATACGTCCGCAGCCCTCTCCCCAGCGTCTTCGTGAGTGGTACGCACGGCGCTGCAGTTTCTAGAGTGGCGCTCCTGGTGCTGCGGACCCGGGCGTTGGAGCTGCTGTTGGTGCTGCGGACCCGGGCGTTGGAGCTACTGCTGGTGCTGCGGACCTGGGCGTTGGAGCAGCTGCTGGTGCTGCAGACCCGGGAGTTGGAGCTGCTGCTGGTGCTGCAGACCCGGGCGTTGGAGCTGCTGCTGGTGCTCCAGACCCAGGCGTTGGAGCTGCTGCTGGTGCTGCAGACCCGGGTGTTGGAGGTGCTGGGGGTGCTGCTGGAGCTACTGGAGGTTTTGGTGCTGTCTCTGCTGCTGCAGAGGGCACCTCACAGCCGCGGCCGTACTTTGTTCCACTCCTTCAGCAGGTTCTTGGTCTGTCACCTCCGCCTTGTCCCCCTCCCTCTGTAGAGTGTCCACCGCCGGTCCAGTCGCAGTCACAGCTACCACCTGCCTCGCCACTTCCTCGTCCTTCTCCAGGCGGTCACAGCTACACTGGTCCTACAGGCGGTCTCACTGAGCGTCGTCAGCCTGAGTCTCGCCCTGTGTCGCCTGTGTCCCGTCCTCAGTCCCCTATTCGTACTACTTCCACCAGTCGCCGTACTTAGCGTGAGCGTCTGCCACCAGTCCCTGGCACACACCGGATGTCACTGCGTCCCTCCACAGCTCCACAGCGTGTCCCTCTGCCGTCTCCTCCTGATTCCTCTCTTCCTGCTCTTGCTGACACTGCGTCTGACTCTCTTCG